AAAAAAAAAAAAAAAAGGCTAAAGGAGTTCACCACCACCAAGCCAGCATTATAAGAAATGCTAAAGGTACTGCTGTAATGAGAAGGAGAAATAGAGAAACCTAGGCATACAGAATTAAAATGGCAATAAATAAGTACCTACCAATAATAACCTTAAATGTAAATGGATAAAAATGCTCCAATCTAAAGAAATAGGGTAGATGAATGGATACAAAAACATGACCCAACTATATGCTATCTACAAGAGACCCACCTCAAAGCAAAAGACTCACACAGGAAGAGAGTTAAGGGATGGAAAAAAATTTTGCAAACAAATAGAAATGAAAAAAAGCTGAGGTAGCAATACTCATATCTGACAAATAGGCTTCAAAATGAAGGCCATCACAAGAGACAACAAAGGTCACTACATAATACTAAAAGGATCAATCAAACCAGAGGATATAACCCTGGTAAACATATATGCACCCAATATAGGAGCCCCTAAATATATAAAAAAACTTCCAGAGGACTTTAAGGGAGAGATTGACAACAATACAGTCATAGTAGGGGACTTTAACACCCCACTGACTTCACAGGATAGATCTTCCAGACAAAAATTAACAAGGAAAGAGCCACTTTAAAGACAAACTGTATCAGATGGATTTAATTGACATTTATAGAACATTTTTCCCAAAGTTACAGAATATACATTCTTCTCAAGTGCACATGGGTTATTCACAAAGATAGACCACATGATAGGACACAAAACAAGTCTCTACAAGTTCAAGAAGATTGAAATCATATCAAGCATTTTCTCAGATCACTGGAATGAAATTAGAAATCAACTACAGTGAAAATCATTCAAACACACAGAGGCTAAATAGCTTGTTATTAAACAATGAATGGGTTACCAATGAAATCAAGAAAGAAATAAAAAACTTCCTGGAAACAAATGAAAATGAACACACAACAACCCAAAATCTCTGGGACACAGCAAAAGGAGTCCTCAGAGGGAAGTTTATAACACTACAGGCCTATCTAAAAACACAAGAAAAATTAATAATAAACTATTTAACCCTACAACTTAAAGAATTAGAAAGAGAACAACAAGAAAAGCCCAGAGAAAGTAGAAGGAAAGAAATAAAGATAAGAACAAAAATAAATGACATAGCGACTAAAAACAAAAACAAAAAAACAAAAAACAAAAAAAATCAATGAAACCAAGAGCTGTTTCTTTAAAAGGATAAGCAAGATTGATGAACCATTAGCCAGACTCATCAAGAAACAAAGAGAGAGAACCCACATAAGTAAAATCAGAAATGAAAGCAGAAGTAACCACTGACACCACAGAAATACAAAGGATTGTCATGAACAACTATATGACAACAAGTGGGACAATGTGGAAGAAATTGATAAATTCCTAGAAAAATACAATCTCCCAAAACTGAATCAGGAAGAATCAGAAAACCAGAATAGGCCAATAACAACTGATGAAATAGAAGCAGTAAAAAACAAAACAAAACAAAACAAAAACTTTCCAGCAAATAAAAGCCCGGGTCCTGATGGCTACACTGGAGAGTTTTACCAAACATGCAAAGAAGAACTAACACCTAGACTGGCTCGTGTGGCTCAGTGGTTGAGCATCAACCTATGAACCAGGAGGTCACGGTTTGATTTCCCGTCAGGGAACATGCCTGGATTGCGGGCTGAATCCCCAGTGTGGGGCGTGCAGGAGGCAGCCGATGGATGATTTTCTCTCATCATTGGTGTTTCTCTCGCACCTTTTCCCTTCCTTTCTGAAATCAATAAAAATATATTAAAAAAAAAAAAAGAACACCATACACCTAAAACTATTCCAAAAAATCCAAGAGAAAGAAAACTTCTACGCTCTTTTTATTAGGCCAGCATTCCAGAACCAGATAAAGACACTACAAAGAAAGAGTATTACAGGCCAATATCCCTGATGAACATAGATACTAAAATCCTCAACAAAATATTAGCAAACTGGATCCAGCAACATATTGGAAAGATCATACATCATGACCAAGTGGGATTTATTGCAGGGATGAAAGGCTGGTACAATATTAGCAAATCAATAAACATGATACATCACACAAACTGAAGACAAAAATCACATGATCATATCAATAGATGCAGAAAAACCATTCCACAAAACCCAACACCCATTTTTAATAACAACTCTCAGCAAAGTGGGAATACAGGGATCATATCTCAACGTGATAAAGGCCAGAAAACACAAACCTACAGTGAACATCATACTCAATGGGTAAAAACTAAAACCATTTCCCCTAAGAACAGAAACAAGACTAGGATGTCAGCTTTCACCACTCTTATTCAACACTAGAGGCCCGATGCATGACATTCATGCACTGGGGGGCAAGGGGAAGGTCCCTTAGCCCGGCCTGTGCCCTCTTGCAGTCTGGGACCCCTCAGCGGACATCTTCCGAGGGGTCCTCAGTGCTGCCACGGAGGTGGGAGAGGCTCCCGCCACTGCCGCTGTGCTTGCCAGCCGTGAGCCCGGCTTCTGGCTGAGCAGCGCTCCCC